AATACATTAATCAATTGATTAATGAGTACGCAAATTTTTGATTGATCAATCAATTGCCATTCAAAATTTCGTACACGTTCTTGTACAGATAGTAGTAATAATTCGTAGATATAGTACAAGTGTGTTCTATATCTGTATATCTATATATTTTATCGATAATCCAGCTATCAATCGCGTCCAACTTCAATACATCATATCAATACAGGTGTAAATAAATATTATCAATCATTGTACTAATACATAGTACAGTCGACTGGGGGAAATGGGATTGTTAGTTATGTGGATTGATGACCCCGGTAAGCCGAGCTTTTGTTATGGGTGCTAGACGACTGATATAAATACTTCATTTTTTTTGTAAATACATACATAATGTACATAGATTGGGGGGAAAGCGGATTGTTTGTAATGTGAACTGATGATCCATTGCTAGCAATGCACTATGTCAGGTTGACCTCCACGCGGTTTCCCCTGGAAACCACCGTGATAAATTTCTGGTGAATTTACCTGACCTAACTGACCTGATCTCATGCTCATCTTACTATCCTCTACCGGTGCCCGCCAGCGTAAACCGTTAGCGCAGGCGGGGGTACAATACCTTTATCAGGGGGGATTGGGGATTGTTAGTAATGTGGACTGATCATCTTATTGCTAGCAATGTACCATGTCAGGTTGACCTCCACGTGGTTCCCCCTGGAAACCATCGTGATCAATTCTTGGTGAATTTGTCACGATGGGCTAACTGACCTGACTTCATGCTCATCTTATCATCTATCATCATCCACTGGTGCCCCGCCAGCGTAAACCGTTAGCGCAGGCGGGTGCACCATGCCATTATCATACGCAAAAAAAAATACCTTTATCATCCATTAAAAAAAAAGTACAACGACTTCAAAGGCATGAAGCACATCAGAGAGAATCAGAGAGAGACAAGGGAAACTCTGTCACTCTCTGATTACGCCCGAGGTGATGATTTTCCATTATGTATTATATTTCCAATATGGTAGGCTATCTCCTTGTTTATTATTTAAATTATATAAAACTAGATGTGCCCGCGACTTCGTCCGTGTAAATTGTCGATACTTCCATATAACCTTTCATCCTCTCTTTCAACCCCTTTCAACCCCTTACAACCCTTTTTTCGGATTATAAAGTAGCCTATGTCCTTTCTCTGGTTCTAGAGTACATGTGTACCAAATTTTATTTAAATCGGTTCAGTAGTTTTGGCGTGAAAGCGAGACAGTCAGACAGACAGAGTTACTTTCGCATTTATAATATTAGTAAGGATTATCTTTATTGCGGGGCGCTGCTGGGTTCTCTTATGTTGAATATAGCCTACGTTACTCATTAAGAATGGAGCTTAGTATAGGCGAAATATTTTTTAAATAAGTAAAGTATTTCTTGAGTTTATTATAGACGAATCTCTTTATAAAACCGTATAAAAAAAATAGTGCTATGTTTTGTATGGAGCTGACTGTACATTTAGTTATATTATTAATATAGTAAGGATAGTCATGCTCACTACATATATGTAGAGATAATGTGGTGAGCATGACTCTGGTCACTACCACTAATTCTATGGTATTACTTGCTCAATATCTTGATCTCTACAAGACTTACTTTATTCGTTAAATACAATAAAATGACTAAATAATTATTGTTTGATTATATTCCAAAAATAAATATTTTATCATTATTTTTATTCAAATTTATTACTTTAATTGACTCGATCGTTGAAATTTACTAAAAACAAAAATTATGTCAAGGAAATTTTAAAATTCGAACACAAGTTACCTTCACCTGTATTACAATTTTAAAATTTCATTTGACATAATTTTGTTTTCAGTAATATTCAAATTTGGAACAATTCCGATTCCGGGATTATTTACATACAGTTCATTGTTTACAAAAATCATGAATTCAAAATTGGAGCATTCAGTCAGCATTCCAGCCGATATGACATATTTTTTTAGCCTTGTGACTTTAATTATGGAATTGTGCTACTAGTAATTCTATTTCAAAGAGATTAAAGTTTATATTTCCAATTATGTATGGATCAATTCGCAGTTACAATTACAAATCGACTTGTATTACAACTCTAAAAAGTCGTAAACCCATCGATAGTTATCTGTTATACTAGAAAATTGTTACTAACAATTACATAACTAAGCATCTAGAGTCAGTGTATGCGGTCGTGTCACTTGTGTTACATTTTCCTATATTTTTGATTATTTTTAATTTCTGCGATAAATAGCAGCGCTTTACTTGTACACTTTCAATGGTACAATTAACTCTTAAACAGAAATCGTATTTTCAGTCCAAGGAGTTTTATATATTTCTGCTACATATGTCACGAATAATCATTTTAGTTTGATAGTTTGAACTGTATAGATAAATTGTAATAACCTGATGACTAACATATTACCAATTTGGGATAAACAAAATACAAAGAAGGAAAGACTATTCTAATTTTATAAATTGTAACTACTCTGTACGTACATACATCTTTATGTACAGAGTAGTTTCAATTTATATAAATTCAGAGTTGTAGTCGATATTCACTACTAACACTATAATGCTATTCCAAATTCAAATTTATTTCAAATAAAATAAAAATACTATTCAATTAAAATCTAAATTCCCATTAAAAAAAAAAGAAGACGTCTCATATCAAAGAAGTTTTCTATAAATGACTGACATCAATAAGCGCATTGTTGATCTACGATTCTAAATTTAAATTTCTATGGGTGGTTGCATACTATGTGGCACGTGCTTAATCACAACGTTTTAAAATAGTTTGCAAGTTTTGGGTTCCACCCGGTATTCATAAATAAAAAAAAAATACTAATAATAGTTACCTAGGACATTTTTTCTTCACCGCGTCATCTAGTCCCAATATAAGTAGAGCTTGTGTTATGGCTACAGTACAGGGATATTAAGGAGCTCAGTAACCGTAACCGAAACTATCGGTATCCGATATAAAAAAAACATTCATAACCGTAACCGTATCCGAAATAAAAGTTTCGGATAAAATCGGATAGGGGCGGAGGCTATTTGTATTTTACTTTTAAAATTCCTTAAAAATTATTATCCGTAACCGAAATTATCCGAAACTAAAGGATAATCCGAAATAATTGCATATCCGCATCCGTAACCGTATCCGGTATAATAATCATTCCTTTATCCGAAACCTATCCGAATCCGAAATTTTATATCTATAACATCCCTGGTACAGTGTGGGTTTATGGGTAATACAGCAATTGTATGCATCAGTATAACTTTCAACTATGATTATTAGTTATTGTTGTAGTTTTATTGTTATAGGTAAATAGAAAATAGAAGGAAAAATACTAGGAATACGGAGATTTTCATACATGAGCGATTGTCAAGAAATTGAAGTATAAACAAGATTGTATAAAACTATAAATTTAAATAAAAACTTTAGAATCAAATTTCTTTTATGATTACCCAATACAATATACAACAATTATGGATTAATGGTCTATTTTCAGATCGACTTCCACGCGGTCCCTTCTGAAAACCATCGTGGTTACGAGTAATTACTATACATTCACTAATCTGAAGTCATCCTCATCAACCACCCTCCAGTTACCATATAAAATAAAATCTACTTTACACAAAAAAAGTGATAATATTTTCTATTAATTTTATGCAATATTTATTGTACTTGTCGTATTAGAATATTTATTATTGAACTGGTATTTAAAGAAACGAATTACTATATGTTAACTACTTAATGGATTTATATTATTTTGTTTAATTCACGATTAGCATGTGTGAGATCACAAATATTCAATGCGGAAACTTGAATACCGTTACGACCTTCTCTATTGGTGATCAAATAAATTTATTCGACAATCAATTTCATTATTCTGAAAAGTGATCACTGGAAATATTACTTTTAATAATAAGACCGCCTCATCTAGTAGGTACATATAATAAAAATATCACTGATCGCTTCTATACATGAAAGGTATACAAGAAAAACCATAATTAAAATTTTTGTCTATATGTCTGTACTTTTGTGCACTCTAAGCTCAGACTGTGTAGACAGAATGGACTGCGGGATTTTTACATTAAATAAGGTTCACTTAAAATGTTGTCATTGTTTAATTTTAATTGATTTACAAACAAAAAAGTATACATATAAGTACCTATATAAGGACACGAGGCCACGGGCATAGGTGGTTGTATTAAAAAAAAAAGTTTTTTTTAAATTGACATTTCAATTGTTTCTTTCATTTATTTGTGGAAGGCCTTACACAAATGAAAAAATAATTAAGTGAAATTTATTTAATTTAAAAAACGCTCACAAACGCACAGACATATATTTCTATTTACTAGCATAATGTCTACGTAATTGTCTTACAAGTACTAATATATCAATCACAGTGACGAGTATTAGAAATATTGATTTTTGATACACATCGATGATGCTACGTAGTTATTGTGGATTAATTATGTACGAATTGTTATAAGTAGCTCAAAAGACACACACTACGAACATTATTTCTAGCAAATACTCTACTCCAGTTGATAGTAGATAATGTGGCATTTAAAAGTTTTGAAACAATTACTTATTCCAAGCAAAATAAAAATATAAAGCACTAAAAAGTTTTAATATTATTTCTAATATGGACTTTGGAAAATGTTCCTTTGCCTCTTTACTATAAGATAACATCTAGCCGGCGAAATAAAAAACCATTTTTTTTAAGAATTTACGTTGACAGAATTCAAGAACAATACTTTATATTATAAAATTAATTGTTTCGAGGATTTATTTACAGTATTTAATAGATATTCTCAGATATTTTTAGCTGCGTGTCTTCGATGTGTAAGCACGCGTCGTTAATTAAATATAAGCCTAAATCTAGAACAGGTCGCCGGCTGTCGCATGCTCTTATTTAGGATAGGCACACTATAAATAGTTTTGAGTGCATTAAAAATAACATTTTCTACTATATTCTAAATCACTAACTTACCTTCGTCTAGGAATCGCACTTTTAACTTTTATTATCGTATTAACACTGTTATTATTAATTTCCTTTTTCTTATTTTTAACACTTGTACTCGTTTTAGTGTCAGTCCGATTGGGAGCATTATTATTTTCCGCGTTTTGACTCATAATTATGGAACCGCTTGTAGACGCCGCTGACAATTTTTACAAGGGGCGACGATTATAGATTTGGGTCGGAAAGCATTTGGTGCGATTTTCATAAATCGCGCAGACTGCCGCGCATGTAGTGACAGATAACGCTGATAAAGCATGCCAAATATTTGTTTTAGCGCCATCTAGTTTTTAATCGTGGTACTAGTTTGCCACTTAGAAGCATTGATTTCATAGGTGGCATTTGATTCTTTAATAGTTAAATAGATGTCGCACTATAAATTCAAATTTATTTCGAAATCGGTGCTATACTTCTGTGTACACTAACACAGGTATACAATAATTTAAATTTTTTCAACCGCTTAAAATAAAAGAGGAGGTTATTAATACCATAGTATTCATAAAAAATTTTACCTCTGTACTCTTTGAATTGAATAGCTTGTGAATTTATTTTGAAAACTAGTATTGTAATGAAAAACAGTAAATGTAATGATAGCTGTTGTTTCTCTTCTGGTCCCATGTTTGGATCAAGATCTGACTAGTAGTTTTTGTCTTATCACTAATATTGTGATTGAAGTGGGTTTTCTTCGTAGCCTTAACACAACATTATGGTGACCAATTCTTTATATACATACTTTGGAAATCATCGTATTATTATCTACTAGCTGTACTCGCAATTTCGTCTGCGTGGAAATAAACTGTATATTTCTAAAATAGAAGTAGCTTAAGTTACTCTTTATTACATCAGTTACCTGCCAATAAAAGTCGCGTCAAAATCGGTTCAGCCAATTCAGAGATTAGACGGAACAAACAGACAGACAGACAGATAGACAAAAATTGTAAAAAATGTTAGTTTGGTGTATATATCGTATTTATATTCATATGCCTATAATAAAAAAGGTTATTTCAATATTACAAACAGACACTCCAATTTTATTTATATGTATAGATAATAGTAATTAATAGGATAGAAAATATTTAATTACATGAAAGGAATGGTACACACTATACTTCTATTTAGAATGACTACCAGTTATCACATTCTACCTTCTTCTTATTTTTAATACTATTTATTTAAATAAATAATAGTTGCTAACTATATCGAGGCGAGCCCTTAGCTACTTTACTAGTCAAATCGGACAAAAATATAATAAATATTTACAATACGTTTATCGCAGTAGACTCTGTATAAAGTCGCCATCTACTATTTCGGTATTATTTAGCCAACTTTATTATTGGATTATGCGAGCAAGATGATTTAGGTGATTTTATTGTTTGGGTTTTAAATAATGAAACTTTTTCTTAGCAATCGTTACTCGGTTGGCTATGCCTCCAAAAAGAAAGTGGTTAAAAGAGTATCAAGGTATTTTAAAGTATTTTAGTGAAAATCTTGCCTCATATAATATTATTATATAGATACATAATAGTTTAAATTAAGTTACTTTATACTTTAGTTTATACTATAACTAAAATCTCATGTTTGGCCCGAGGGGGAGATGAGGCTGTGTAATAAGGCACTGAAATTACAGGGTACGGAAGCATGACATCTTAGCTCTACCACAGATAACATAATATTACATAGTCCTAAGGAATGGCAACGCATGAGTGGTACTATGGTCATCACTTGATAACGTGATACCGGTGCTATTCATGTATAGACGATGATTACCGCTTACCATAAGGTGGGCCATCAGCGTGTTTGCTATTTCAATTACATAGAAAAAAAAACAATATTTCAGTGAAATATTTTATTGTTCTATTAAGTTGTACAAAATAGGTAGATACTTAAACTACTATTAAATGCTAATGTTATAGCAATAACTGTGACGAACAAATGTAGTAAAATAGAGTGAAAATAACATCTACTAAAATAAATGAACGAAATATCAGGTATATTACGTTTTTTTACATTCAAATATAAAGCATGCGTATTTTAAATATGCGTCCTTTAGTTCGCAACTTTTTATAGCATTATAAACACTTGACTTTGGCCCGTTTCCATAAAACCTTTGGGAAAAAAAATTAGTAATAGCACAGAGTAATAGTAATATTAATATTGCTGTGCTGAAGATTAGGCTGTATGGTCTCGTACCTTTGCCTATCCACTTGTGGATAAAATATACCACTACTACTAATATTGCTGTGTAGTTTTTGTCCAGTATAGTATCTACTATAAATTTGCAGATATCCTGTCCGTGGTGATATTATTCACTAACCCTGACAGCTTAACTGCTAATATAAATTACAAGTAAGTTGTTGGCTGTAGAATATAAAATGCAGCCATGTTTACACGTATAAAATGCTATTCGTACATCTAAATAATAATTTAAATTCGTATTAGCAGTCTTACAAATAAATCTAAGCACCTATCGATTATTTAATAATATACGAAGCAGTAAATATATACAATAAATCTTTACACTTTGTCACAACAAATGTTACGAAGTGAAGATTTGTTTTAAAAATACAATATAGGTATGTACTTATAACTCTTAAATTATTAGACAGTGTAAATAGGTAAGTTAACATTTGCTAATTAATGTAGTATTTATTCATTATCTATGAACGGAATTGTGAACTTGTCTTGTCATTGTACCATTATAAATACACATTCTAAAAGGTATATGAAATAAATGAGGATAGAGTATCAGATTTCAAAATGAGAACATATTTTGTATGTATATTGATAATTTAAAAAAAGATTGTAATGCACTGGCATCTTTGAACATTTTGTTTCTATTTAAAAGCCTTTAACTTCTGTGGTTTTGCCACAATTACATGAAAAAAAAAATTAGATCCAGATGAATTTTAATTCGTACCTACAAAATTCAAGCTTAATAGTTATATAAATATTAAAATCAAAATAACTTACTATATTAATTTACATATACACGTACATTTTAAATTAAAACAGCGAGCTTTAAGTAAATATAGATAATGCAAAATGATTTTTTTTAATATATAAAATAAATAGGTCAAATTTATTTAAAAACTCAACACGAAAGTTTACAAGGTAAGTTTTTTCGACTGGAATTACAAATAAGCATACGTCCCACTTGATGAAAAGTGGTGAAGTGACGTGAACTGTACCATAACATCACCAGACAGCCAGTCATGACAGTGGTACTCAGTTATGACTACATATGTATATGTAAACAAGGAACTTTCCATATCAGATCAAATCCTCAATCTTGACATGACCATGATTTGAACTGTCTGCTTTAAAGATAAATATGATATTTTCTTTTTAAATATATTGGGTACAGATTAAAAATATTTATTGAACTACTATATATTTTTATCGTATTTCGTTCTCAGTTCGTGACACCGCTGTAGGTTCTACGGCCTGGTGTCTTGGATAAAGACACTTCTGGCCCTTATATTGTTTATATCTAATCGTTCATTAATATAAATCAATATAAAAACATTCGAAAACCGTCAATAATTAATACAAATTAATATCTTAAATCTAATTTACTTCAAAAACAATTAATATTGTGTCGAATTTATATGAAATAAACTATTTCAAACATATCACCTCTCAAAGTAACATTTAGTTACAATGGTAATGTTTATAATTGAATCTTCTAGAAACTTCTATAAAATGTGATTTGTTATAGATATTAGGAACAGAAATGGATGGCTCGATTTTAAAATATTATTGTAATGGTTACTTGCAAGTAGCTAATATTTTTTTTATCAGATCATTTAAAAAAGTATCAATTATCCAATCAGTACGTCTCGTTTTATGCATAAATACCAGTCCTTATTATAAGCACCTCTAGCAAATAACCGGTTTCTGTTAACTCCCTATTAGCTTCTAACCAAAGCAATGTATTGCCAATCCTAAAAATGAGATTTTTTAAATTATTTTTTAAATAAAAACACAGGGCTATTGTCTCACAAGCACTTAATTATACATGTTAAATTTACACTAAGGGCGATATTACATTAACATATATTTTGGATCGAATTTACATTAATTTGTCAATTTAGGAAACTATTGATGTATTTTTGATAAATTTATAAAATTTTACAATGTCTTCGATAGTTTAGTAGTTATGTGATGAGATCAAATGTTCAATTTAAAACTGCATTTAGTATGTATCCAAAATGTAAATATCACCCAATATTGATATTGTAAAACACCCCTAACATTCAATATAATAGAGTAATAAATTAAGGCAATAATCTGTGGTATTCTGCAGCCTTCTTATTTTTCTCTATGATATAAAAAGACTTAGGTTTCCCGTTGCCCGAGAAGTATTTTCTGAACGAAGTCTTTTTAGCTGGTACATAGTAAGCCAATGCATTCAACGAGTTTGGATGATTGTTTCCCTCTTTGGTCCATGTGGGAGTGCTTTCAACGTCTACCACGTCATCGTCGAACCTCGCTTGAGGGCGGTTCTTGGCCAGCTTCTGTAACACTGGAATATTCCAATGGTAGACTCTTGCCGGCTTGCCATTACTAGTCATTTGTAGGGGCAGAGTTCTAGCCGCGGCTGGAGCAGGATCTGCATGGGTGTAGTAGCTTGTGTTCGGGGGGAGTTTGATGACGAACATTCTAGAGTCTCCAGTTGCGTGCCGCCTGCCTTGTTCAGCTAGCCGTTTCCTATGATGGGCGGCTGGTATTCTGAGTTTTTTGAGGCCGAGGGAGCTGAGGAGTTCGTGTGTGCTTGGCTCTTTACTGTCGTCCATTATGTTGTTGTGGCTTGAGGATGATGAGGCTCCATTAGCTATGGTGACAGCGGTCAGGAGTGCGACAATCCTGTAAAAAGAGATAAAAGTTTATATAGTAATTTTGTTTTACATGTTTGATATTCTTGGAGGTTTAACGACATATAGACAAACTTCCTAATCAATAAAAGTATGGTTACGAATGTATGTCTTATACGAAAATAATTATAAATTTTTTCGATAAGAGAAGTAGACTTTATAGGAACCTGTGTCTCATCTGTTTCAACCAATAAGCAGCTTGTATTGCCAGCTGCTTCGGTTGAAGCCTCGGTGGTTTAGCAGTTTAACTCACAGTTTTACTTCCGATGGTCGCGGGTTCGGTTCTCCACACAATGCATACATTTGTATTCATGATTGTTTGTATCGGTCCTGATGTTTTCTATATGTAAATATATCTGTATCTAAACAAAAAAGTACGTAGTTATATCAGTTGTCTAAACTTCCCTTATATTGGATGTAACATATACCCATATTGTGATATGAGTTTCGTCGCAAAACGAGACATTAAAAGAAATTAATTAGACAATGAAAAGATTTCGGATACTTGGAAACCTTCAGGTCTGATGTCTAAGTCAGGTTTCCGCACTAAATATGTATTTGTTGTTTCACACATGCTAATGGTAGCGGAATTAAACAAAATAATATAAATCCATAAGTAATAAAATAGACGTCCGCAAAATAACACCTAATTCTATAAAATAGATTATTGGATTTATGTATCCTTTTCAAATACAAACTGCATGGATTGTACCTACATACAGTCCGGGATCAACGCACTCTATAAAACTCAATACTTTGAGGGGATAAACAACTATTTGTAAGAAAAGCGGAAGTTTTCCATTTTGTTTGCCTTTTTATGTCTGCTTTGAAAGCATGGTGTCCTGTTACAACCTCTCAGTGGCTGTATTGTTTGAGTCTAATGCCTTTTGACCGATTTCAGAAACAGGAGGTTTTCTATATATATTATGTACATTTTTTTACATAATCAGTAATGGGAGGTTTTTTATGTATATGTATTTTATGTAACTTAATTATATACAAACTAGCTGTGTCCGCGGTTTCACTCCCGTTAAATTTCAATAAAATATCTAGCTTATATGTTATTCTGATGATAAGCTATACTATTGTAAAGTTTCATCAATATCCGTTTAGTAATTTTTGCCTGAAAGAGTAATAAACATCTATACTCACAAACTTTCGTGTTTATAATATTATTATTTTATATTTATATTTCATTTGTTTATTGAAGTAGGCAATGCGATATTATTTAATATTGACTAATTATTGTCCAATGGTTTTATATATTTTTAAGCTATCGTATACTAAATCTTTTAACCAACATCGGAAAGGAGAAATATCAATAATAAAACTCTTTATTGTGCATAGAAATATATTTACTAATAAAAAATAACTTTGTAAGTAAATGTGCTGACCCTAGGGCGACCTTATCGCTTAAAGTAATATATGATACTATTGTATTTTGAAAAAAAAAAAAGTGTTAATATATAAAGCTAACTATCCGAAAAAAAACACTTTTTAACGTGTAAACTGGCTGTTCAGTCTATCTGTTTTTCGCTTATTTCTTCTAAATTAGATTTAAAGAAAGTCTTCCGGTAGATTTATGTTTAGGTCAAAAATATAAAAAGCTTTTTTTTAATCAAACACACTATTATTATATATTAGCATAGATATATGTGTACATACGGCAACACAGTGTCGTCAAACTGTATTCCGTTGCTACAAAACCAATTAGCATAGACGTGGTTAGGTGTTGTGTACACTGAGCCCTCTAGAATTTTCATAACGGTTTTGTAAGAGAATATTATTGTTGTTTTTTCTATGTAGCTAATGCCAGTGTTTGCGTCTGTACAGATCCGTAGTTAGGTAACAGGCCCGAAAAACTGGGGCAATATGGTGAACTGTTGAGGTTTTGTAAGTCAAATTTAAAAATATTATTTAAGGTCTAATCCCGACTTCACACATGTGTTTGTAACTTTGTGAATTTTTTAACGTGGTTTTATATATTTCCCAAGTCCTCTCGGGAAATAGATATATCACAAGAAAATCAAAAGTAACAAAAAAAGACGATTTTACGGCTCTGGAATGTCCTTATTAGTTTAGAATAGCTTAAAATAGTTGCCATAATTAAAGTCGGATATCAATCTATTTTATACATTTCGAAAGTGTGAGAATTTTTTCCCTTCTATTAAAAGTTTGTTGATCAGGCTCCTAGGGCCCTTTGATCTTGAGGGCCCCGACGTTGATCTTCCGGTAGCTACGTCACTGCTTCTGTGTGGCTGTTAGCTCGTAATGGAATTTGGTTTGTCTTTTCTGACCACTGTGTGTCTAGAAGCGTGTACACACGACCCTAAAGTCGGTTAACTCTCATCACACGGATTTTACAACCGTATATAGACGAGTTCAAGGTTGATTTTCGTGTAACATGATTTGTTTTACTCATACGATTAGAGCATCAAACAAGTTGTTGGATTGTAGTAATCTTATAGACTCTAGCACTGACATCCCAGATTAGCAGGGATGTTCCAATAGCTATAAGTAATCGATGTCTACTCATTAAAGCAGTACTTCAATCGCTTTTCAATAATACTTACATGAGCACCCTCAAAGTACCGATACTTACGCACTTATAAAAAAAAGGCATTTTAGAAGAAACCTTGTAAACCTAAGTTTAGATAGTCTAATTAATAAATGTCTAAAATTTATTGGTTATTCAACTTTGCGGCACATAAAGTCACTTCTTTTTCTTTTATTTGTTCATGTATATTTCTCTAAGTCATGTAGGCTATATGACTTAGTTGGTTAATAAAGTATTAAATAAATCTATCTATCTAAAATAACATTAATTAATATGAGAAATCTTACTCAATTATATTATTTTTTATATCCTCAACCAAAACGTACTAACATTTTATTACTTAGTGTGACACGAGCACTACAGTTTATGCACTGCCATGCATGCGCAATAAGTTTCATTACAAGTTATAATAATAACTTATTTTATATTGAACCTAACTCCTATAGCTATAGGGAGTTACAAGCACCTATGTGTCGGTCTGTCATATCTCACGCATAACTTAGCGACTTCACTTGCGCTTGTGAGAATGGCCGCTATTCTTGGTAAAGCAAGACAATGGGCAGTAATAATACAAATGTTGCACAGGATATTTAGCAAGGAATGTGGCTAGAAAAACATATTTTTGTATAAGCATACATTTTACTTGATTTGTAGAAAGACAGAAGTGCAATATCTTTTATTTCTGCCGTCAAACAACCGCTTTTGTAACATAAATTTGATTTACAGTGTATCCTACTGATCCACTGTTAAACAAAATTATCACCTTACCTCCTTCAATCTTCTCCATATTATTCTATTCTGGAGCAATTGATATCCAGTTGTGCTCCGGTACAATACATATTTTTTTTTTATAATTATGTCATCCTTCTAGATATATAGAGAGATAATATTCCCGCTGAGTATTTGCACTCATAATTAAGAACACAAAGACGCCTTACAAGAATGGCGTATGTACAAATTTACGTATACAGGTGACGTTTGCCAGTTCCCATAATATGAATGCGGTTTCCATTTATATCAAATCACTTTCGTTTGCTATATTTTATCTTTATATAGTATAAAACAAAGTGGCTGCCATCTCTACGCTTATATCTTTTAAACTACGCAACGGATTTTAATTCACTTCAGCTCAGCAATAGATAGATTGATTCAAGAGAAAGGTTTGTATGTATAATACATGTATTCTATAGTACAAAAACACCGAGAAAAAGCCGTTTACAATATTACAGATCTGTTTGAGTAGAAAATACTACGAACAGAAAATACGGAAAATATACGAGCAATGAATTGATGGGAATAAGTCATTATATCTTATATTTACCTACTACGAGCCTTTCTTGTATGTCATGTTAGTGTTAAACTAAAAGAGACATTCTAATCCAACCATTACCAGTTATTACACGGTAACTAGTCATGTAAGGGTAGCCATAACCTAGCCTGCTTTCGGCTGGAGAGGACCACAAAATCCGCTCCTCCAAAGTTGCCGGTCCCAAGCCCGGATAAATAGCGAGGGTCTTTGTATACAGTATATGTATGTATATTATAAAATAACTTACAAGTAGTGTCATATTTATATTAATATATCCTTCTTCTCTTTCAAACTATCATATTTATTTCAATCAGCTGCACCTAGTAGGTGAGTCTGCAGCACATATGTATATATATTGTATCAATAGTGTATTTATAAATAAAATGTGCCTGGGCAAGCACCAGAACTAATTATAGCCTTCTTATATATATTTTTACCTATATACTATTAAATTTAAATAGCTTCCTGCACCTACCTGCGCTAAGGCCTGCGCAGTTGAGCGCCGTAAGCGGGGAAGACGGGATCCTGGGAGGTTGAGTCAATCGGAGGTCGGAGCAGTTACCTCCGGGCGACAACACGCCTCCTTTGGCCCATATTTCTGGCGAAACGGTCGCCTGAGCAGCCAGCCACTGCTCGGGAAATGGTCCAGTGCTTTACCGTCACAGGAGCACGGCGAGGAGTGGGAAGGTCTCTTCGGAGAAGGTAGTCGGCCATGCTGACGGGGTAAGGCACTGTGGAAGTTCTCTAGCCGCAGTTGTCCGAACTCCCGATGTCGCGCAAAGACGCCACCTTTCTGCTCCTAGATCCACTCGAGAAGATCCTGGTGCCATTGCGGCATCCCCATTTGCGGGCTCCGAGGAGGGTGGGACATCGAGTGGACGACTTTTAAATATTCTCACAATATGGACATCATCGATGACATTGAGAAACTGCTTGAAGGAAGTACCTTGGACGAAAATGAACGCCAAGAACTTTCATCCGATGACGGAAACTGTTTGGAGATGGTTGTTGAGCCTACAGGGACGGATGACCTAGGTCTAACGCCCAAAAAGGACTCAAAGCCAAAACCAAAACGAAGGAGGTTAACAGGAGCAGCGCGGAAACGCCTAAAACTGTTAATAGCCGC